GCACCATATCTTTTAATAGTAACTTATTAAAAAAAACAAACATATTAAGAGTATGTTTTTCATGTGTTGTTCTGCATACTACATAAATGTCTCATCAATTTAAAAAAAGCAGTACTCATTTTTTTATAAGATTCATAACTAGGTTTTATGTTTTCCAACTTAACAGACATGTTCTGTTTTCTGTTTAACCCAGGACTTGGTTTCATGTAAACTGTTACCCTTTTAGTTTTATCACCAATTTAGTATGCCAACTTAAGCAAATCAAGGCTAATAGCCTAGTAAATGTTCTTTGGAGTTAAGTGTAGATTTGAACATTATAATAAATTTTAAACAATCAAGACACAAAGTTCAGATGTTGTAGAAAGGAACAAATGTGGTCAGTTATCACATCCTGTGTCTCCTGCCCAAAGTGGGGTATCAACAAGGCCCTAGTCTGTCAAGGGCCAAAAGTTCCTCAGGCCAAGAAGGGGAGGCATGATCTGCAATCCTGAAAATGGCCATTGTCAATCACTTACTTCATTCCAGGCATTTTCCTAAATGTTTTACATTGAGGTAAACTGTCCCTAAATAGCAACAACACCATCTCACAAAGCAGCAGCAATACTCACCCAAAGAAAGTGGTCATAGCTTTGCTTTTATTTTTTGTCTTGGGGAAAATTGTTTTTATAATTCATAGAACAAAAAAATGTTATGACCTATATGTAGCAATTTTCAAGACTGATTTTATGTCCCATATGTTTTGCACAGTTGAAATGTTTTACCCACTGTGATATTAAGATATTTTGTTAGTACCTTGAGGAAATACATTTAACATAGTAAGTTGTATTAGAATATAGGGCAAGCATGGAGCCACCAATTCTCCTTTTAATTTGATAATCTATTCATTCACAATGATTTGTTGCTGTAACTCCCCTGTACACATACTTTCATAGGTATTGGAAATATAGTGATAAGCAAAACATATAGTTCCTATCCCCAAGAGTAATATAAGGAAAGAGGTAGACACGAAGCAAATAATCAAACATTTAGCATAGCTGGGATAAATCTCAAATGTCCAAGAAATAGTTTCTCTATAATTTCTGACTCCAAGTCTTCATTCAACCCAGCTGACAAAAACACACAGGAAAAGTTGATGTCAATCTTTCTTACAGTTGGTTTTATCTCTTTACCAGGATGTGACTCTAATGTATTTCTCTGTGCCAAAGCCTTTTTGTTTGGTTCTTTAATCCCCATCAGCTGGTTGTCTTTCCAGTTCCATCATTATTTGCTTCTTCGGCACATCACTCATTGCATGAGAATGATTTTTTGAGGTATCTATGGTCCCTTCTCAGTCAGTGTCCTAAATACTACCTCTTAGAGAGACTGCTAGGAACAGGTCCCTCTGCTCAATAGGTCCCTCTGCTCTTTTTTTCATGCTCCACCCTGTCCAGCCCTGTAGAAGCATCACATTTCCCTTCATGTTTAAAGATACACAGGACAAATTTAGTCGGGGTTGGTAGTAGAAGTCTTAGAGGAAAGAATCCAGAAATTTCTCTCCTAAAAATATGACATATGAACTGAGACCTGAAGGCTACATGTGCCAAGGCCAGGTGGCAGGAAAAAAAAAAAACCTAAGTAACTAAGTTATGAAAATTACTACTTAGGCATAAACCTTAATTATTGAAGAATAAATGCCCCTATGTTTTGGTTTATAAGACCTCAGCAAACTATTTTAGGCACTAACAATTTACTACACAATAGTGGAAAGTATTTAAGAACTGCTGAAAGCCTTGGGGTTCAGTGAAAGCCTAATGAGTTAACAGTTGCATTGCTTAGCAAATTACTTCATCTTTTTACCTGAACTATATCATGTGAAAAATAGAAAAATAGAGATTAAGAAAACATTACACTGCTGTGAGGGTATACTGGGATAATGGACATGAAAGTGTTTGTATATTATTACTAGCATGCTGAGAACTAAATCTATTCTCAGTACAAGTGAACATTTTCTTTTATTGAACTCTTATTGAGACAAAATGACAGATTTTGTTATATTTCTCATTTGTAATTGTATGTGCCTACATAGACATGAAGCAAACACTAAATGTGATATATAATTACTTGTGAATACAATCTTCCTTCAACAGGAAGAGTAGCTGATAATTTATTCTCAAATAATAATGCAAGTTCTGTATGAAAGATGCCTGGTGGAGAATGAGTGAAAAAAATAATATGTATTACAAAATAGGAGCCCAAAGTCGATCTTATTACTACTGCCTTTGTAGACCCCCATTGGTATTTGTGTGTGATAAGGATAAAATGAGTTGATTAACAGCTGAGCAGAATTTTCATTCAATTTTTTAAAATTTATGATAAACTCCATATTAGGAAGGAAAGTGCAACTTAAAACAATATGAGACAATACCACTCACCTATTAAAATGGCCAAAAACTGGAACACTAACAATACCAAAGTTGAGAGGATGTGGAGCAAAAAGGAAATCTCATACATTACTTCTGGGAATGAAAAATTTTAGTCTCTTTGTAAGACAGTTTGGAGATAGCTTACAAAGCTAAACACATACCAGCAAGTTACTATTCTTGGTATTTACTTAAAGGATTTGAAAACTGATTCTATACAAAATATTGCACCTAAGTGTGCACACTAGCTTTGTTCTTTTTTTTCTTTAATTCCTAGAGTTTTCTTGAACTTTGATGTATAAATATTTTTATCATGAATGCAGGGATTACATCTGATGCCCATTTTCTTTCATTTTTAAAATTAATTAATTAACATTGATTTGTGATACTGTGTGTGATTTAGGGACCTAGCTTCACATCTCCTCAGAAGTATATCACAGATGTATATCACACCAGAGCACCTATCTCCCTTAACCATGTAATGCCCAAATATTCTCTCCCATTCAATAGGGTGTATTTCTGTTATTTTTTTAAGATTTATTTATGCATATAAAAACTGAGGTAAAAGCCAGAAGTGGGAGAGGTTGAGAGACTTCACCAGAAACAAAATGACTAAAACATGCTGCTGAGCAGAAGCAGCAGGCAAGGCAGGAGAAATCTGCTATATCTTGGATCAGCTCCCCGACCAAGGATTGAACTCTTGCTGCAGTGACTGCAAATAGCTTCATAGTGCTGTGCATTAAGCCCTTGTGCTTAAGGTAAGGGAGGCCCTTACCTTTCTGTTTTAATAACAATTTCTTTCTCTGTGCAGATTTTTACTTAAGGTAGTCCCAATTGTTTATTTTGCCTACCATTAGAATCAAGTACCCAAAGATATCACTGAAACCAATGTCATGGAGTGTTCTGTTATAGTTTTTTCCAGATTTTTATGGTTTTCAGTCTTACATCCAGTCATTAATATATTGTGGGTTGTGTGAGAGAGTAGTCTAGCTTCATTTTTCCTGCATGTGGCTGTCTAGATCCCAATCTCATTCCTATTGTATATTCTTAGTTTCTTTGTCATCGATCAATTTTCCATATAAACAAGGGTTTTTTTCTGGGCTTTTAATTCTGTTCCATTGGTCTGTGTGTCTAGTTTGGTTCCAATACTGTACAGTTTTGATTACTATAGCCTTGTAGTGTAAGTTGAAGTCTGGGAGTGTAGTACCTCCATTCCTCTTCTTTTTTTGTCAAGATTATCTTGGCTATGATCAATTGCCAGGTTCAAGTGGGATAAAAATGTTTTATTTCTCATTTAGACTTGATGAAAATGAGAGTAGAGCATGGAAAATATCTTAGTGATTAAAAATAGTTTTAAAAAAGGAACTCAGTTTTTCAATTAAGTTTTTTTTATTTTGTTACACAAAATGTTATGGAAAGTACAAACTTTCAGAAAAACAAATTAGAATCACAATGCATCTATAACAGTAGAAAATGTATAATCCTTGTAATCTGACTTATGCTCTCAGTCCACCTAAAAGTTGCTTACTTTTGTTTAAAGAAATAGATATTGAGTACTTATAAAAAGTAGCTTTCATTGTCCCTCTACTCCATCCAGTTTTTAACTAAGATATGTATATTTTTGTCATAGAGTCTGAGTTTCAAGTGCTTTGTCCTCAACAGACTTAGAGTGAATACTTTATAGAATAGGCCACATTGTCCTATGACCTCAGTTAACAAAAGCAGGATGTGTTAAACAAAGGGCATGGGCTCCAGTACTAGCAATGCATATTTGGAGGAGTTGCTGCCTCCTGCTCTTCCTAGTTTCACAATTTGCTCTAGAACCTTCCATCAAATAACATTTTGATGTGAATGATCACCTCAGTTTTGTTCTCTCTGTGGTTCCACTTAAATATGGACATACAACTCAAGGCAGATTCTAGACTTGTGGAGAAAGGTGTCCAGACTGATGTGTCCTAGTCTAAGTCTTTTCATTGAATTGGGGGGTAAAATTCATCTTGACCAATAAATGCAAATGCTGACTTAACTTTCATGTTTCTTCCTTGTCAAATATTCTAACAAAGTTCTATAGCTTCAGCTCTTAGACCTATGAAGATCAAAGTATGATTTAAAGTTGAGAATCCCAATTTTCTGATAATACTAATAACTTCATAACTAATAACTAAGCAAAAGATAGCCTAGAAAATAGAAGATTTAAAAGTCAATAGAATTTTGTCTTTAAAGATTTTGATTTTAGTAATTCTAATAAGTTCTAAGTTTTGCTTTTGAAGGAATACTAGTTTTCTAATATTTTTGTACATTTTATTGTTTACATATACTTGGGATAGGACTAAGAAATACAATAGGGGTATCTTTCAAAAAATGAAGAAAATCCCAACAAAATTCTCACAATTAGTTTAGATAACAAATTAATTACATATGTCAAAAATAAAAGTTCATCAAATTTATATTTAATTTAAATGGAAATTATACTATCAGATATTTTTGTTTGTTTGTTTTTACTTGGAATCCCAACTTATTGTATACTAATAAGACTACTGGATATTGAACACCGTTCCTTCTTTCTTTAACCAATAACAAAATGATGTTAGTAATGATGAATTATCCTTGGTGGTTTGACTTGGGTCCAAGCAAAGTATCTATTACATTTCCCTGAAAAGAAAAGTCACACAATTACAATGCAATAAAATATAAATTAAGGGTAAAGTCTTTAAAATGTGATTTAAAATTTTAAGTTAGTGACACACATATAAAAAGCTTCCAGTAAGATTGTAAAAAGGAAACAAACGAAGTTAAGTTTAAATAATAACAGTTGCTTTCTAATAAAATTTGTTCATTCCTGTGGAAGATTTTTGTATGAAGGTTGAAAAACAATTTTATAAAGGTTCAGTAAAGGAACACTATGGCAGCTCCAATGTAGCCATAATGCTTAAGCCTCATTTTTCTCATCTATAAAGTAACTTTTAACCTTAATGGTATCTCAAACTCTTTCCTGATCTATAGGGTTTGATTTAGAGAGTACAGAACATCTAAGTTTTTATATAGATTTCAATTTTTATCTAATAATAATCTTTGCATGAAAAGCAATAAAATGATCCTATACAAAGAATTAAGCCAAAGATGAGATTAGAAGCAGAAAACTGCTGGTTTTTCCTACCAGACAAGATAAATGATCTTGAGAAAATCACTGATATCTAGGACTGATATCTCAGTTTCCTTGAATGTGTAATGGAAATACTTAACACCAACATACACAGATTGTTATGAAAATTGAAGATGTTGATGTGTGTAAAAGTGTTTTACAAACTATAAAGAAATGTAAATGCTGTAGATAAAATTACATAAATCTGTTTTTTCTTTTATCCTCTAATAATGCTCTCTTTAGCATTTACTCCATCCTTCAAGTATTGACACATCAAACAGTTGTCGAGTCCAAAAGTCTACATTCATCTTGAATCCATCTCTGTCCAGTTTAGTCTCTCACCTGGACAACTATAATAGACCACTATTATAGTTAATTCACTGTTGTAATCTTAATATCTAAAACACATTTTGTCACATAGTACACACTCGATAAACATTTTTTGAATGAATGGCCTCCCTTTTTCTGCCTTTATTGTCTTTTCAAAATAATTTATTATAAGTTGATAAGTATTACAGATTTATGTTTCAAAACTCCATTTTAAAGATTTCATTTTTTTCCTTTAATTTGGAAAATATAAATATTCAAATCACAGAAGGAAATAGAACAAACATATATGTAATTAAACATAAGAGTAAAAATAGTATTCAGGAGTGTGTTTCTACAGGAGGTTTCCAGAAAAAGAAGTTACTTTCTAGCATGCATGCCTCCATTTAAGTCATTTTCTGCCAAGTGCATATAGACTGTGATTTTGTTCAATGCAACACTTAGAGCCAACATCCAACCCCCATCATGCCAAGAAAAAGAGAGGCCATTCATTCAAAAAATATTTATTGAGTGTGTACTATGTGACAAAATGTGGTTTAGATATTAAGAATACAACAGTAAATTAATTATAATAGTGGTCTATAACAGTTACCCAAGTGAGAGATTAAACTAGACAGTGATGGATTCAAGATGAATGTAGAACTTTGGACTTGACAACAGGAGGTTCTAAAAGAAAAACAATAAATGTTAATGTAGTGGTATATCTTATCAACAGTGAGCTGTAACATAAAGGTATCATTGCATAGTTAAAACACAAGCCCCTGCTCATATCAAGTATCAGGCTGTTACACCTGACCACAAATTCTGAGAAGTTAGGAGTCAATAAGCTACAATATCAAACTGTAGTAATATTCTGGTCCTTGATCTTCTCAGGGAGTGGCCAGGGTTTCAGAAATCATCTCATTCAAAACTTCCATAACTATTTTGCAAAACAACAAAGAGAGAAGGACAATGGGGAGGTTAAAGGAATTCGTGGAATCAAAATTGCTATTGATCCTTATCTATATCCTATAGAACAAAACCATAAGCTTTCTAAAATGTTGATTCACTCTTGGTTAAAATGAATGGAGAAATTCTAGATCATAAAATTTCTTTATAAGATATCTTGATAAAAATAATAGCTGCATATTAATTACATTATTACTACAAAATATTATTATGATTAAAATTCTCTGAGAAAAAAGGAGAAAGTTTATTACAGAAGCCTTATTTGGTAGTAACTAACATAAGACCTATAACAGCCATTGTTTTATTTACTCTTCAAGAAATATAATCTAAACCATTAAAATATAATCTAAATTTAATTTTATTTACTCTTCAAGAAATATAATCTAAACCATGTCCTAAGACATGGAAAAACATATATTTTAGAAACTGGTATTTATTGACTAAGGAAATAATATCTGAAGTATTTATTCAAGTAAAGAATGTATTTGTTAAAAGACTTATCTCACCAACACTAAAATTAATACACAAACACACGCAGACACACAAATCAAAAATGTTTAGTTTCTATGAATTTAGCCTTCTGCTTTCAGAGCAGAATGCTAAACATAAAAGATGTCTCTAGATTATTCAAATTCAAAAACAAAAATTGAACATTTCTCTTCCACAATTTTCTACTTTTACTAACTTTATAACCCCAATAACACAGTTTTAGCTATTGTGTTTAAATAACTGTTACACAATTTACTTATCTTCCCACAATTTACTTATCTTCCCACAATTTGCTTTTAGCACTCATTGTCATGTTGGTCCATTAAAATATATATCATTAAAAAACTTCTAATTGTAGTCACTCATGGAAATGTACCATATTTTAATTATCCAACCTTCTACTGATGAGCATTTAGGATGTCTCCATTTTACCACTATAGAAATAAGGCTGTTTATGAACATCTTTCTCATTAGCATGTGTTTCAAGCCACTACAAGTGAATGAAAAATAAAACACTGGGTGATATGTAGACTCCAACAGATATTTAAACATCTGAAAGGATTATAGCTCTGCTAGATTGTAAAATCATAGTAATTTAAAAATAATAACACAGTCTATGAATGAATTGAAATCAATAGGATTATAAAGCATCATGCATTAGGATGCTTTAGAAGATGGAGGACACAGGTGGTCTGTAACTACTCGTTAGAAGACAACAAGACCACTCCATTTGGAGGGCATTGGCAAATTAACTGTAAAAATGAGCTCAGCCTGGTAGTTAAGGTAACTACCCTTTAGAAGACAGACAAGACCACTCCATTTGGAGGTCATTGGCAAATTAACTGTAAAAATGAGCTCAACCTGGCAGCTAAGGTAGTAGAAATCCCCTTCAATTTTCATGGTCAACATGGATCAACCTGTTAGGAAAACAACCTCCAAAGCAACTTGTAATATTTCCTTGTTTCTTTATTGGGGAAACACAAATTTATACTGAGAAGAGTAAGAATTGTGATAGGAATGATGCAAGAAATAGAACATACTTTTAGTGTTTAATGTTAAGGAATTTGTACATATTTGGCATTTTAAACTATTCAATATACATTGAAAATTCACCATGTTCGATCATATTACAGATAAGCATACTGTTTCTAATTTAAATATGTAATTGATAATTGATCTAGACTTGAATAAAGAAGAGAATAGAATTTCTTTTGGCTATCATTAATAAGTTTCAGCATGGGTACAAACATCCACAGTATCTTTTAAAATATCTTGTACTCAGTAAATGTTTGATAAATTAAAAATGTTAAATGTTTTACATTATGAAAAAGATAAGCTATTTGAGTTGCATTCCACCTTCCAGATTAAAATTATTATGTAAGGAGGCCAATGCCTTGTGGGAAAAAAATATGTAGTGTCATGATTTGGAAAACAGATAAAGACTAAAATGTATCCACCATCGTATCTCTAAGAAATTCTGCTTCTAAAATGTTGGTTCTTCCTCTAATTTTTCAATGTATATCTATTTTACAAACATTTATTAAATAACTACAAGTTAAACACTATTCATGGGATATAACTCAGAACACAAGACATAACATTCACTATTTACCATGCCTAGTAGGTAGTAACTTTGTAGCTTATGTTCTTTCCATTTTACCATATTAAAGATATTGAAGAAATATAAATCTCTTGCATACTATGAAATTCAAACTGAATAAAATCATTAAGTGATATAAAATTTCACCTTTGAGTCTTACCCTGCCAGATTCCAAAGCAGTAGGCATATTTCTTAGTTCATACACAGCAACCTGTCCATCACTATCTCCTACTAAAAGGCAGTCTGTCTGTTTGGCGAAGAGAACAGTTGTAAACTTGATTCCAGGGTTAGCAAAATGTACAATCAGAGGATCTAAACTGCAATGAAATATTTTGTTTATAAATTTAGCTGTTGGTAAATATAGAGAAACTAAAAAAGTATGAGATATTTTTATGATTTCATGTAACAAAACCCAAAAGATTCTTTATTATGTTTTCAAATACTACTGTTATTACTACTACAACTACTACATTAGTAATTTCTCTTACTCCTTATTCAATCAAAATTTTCAGTCCTTCAGTGAATTTATTTCAACTACATAAATGAGAGCAATTAGCACTTAAGATGTTGACTATAAATTTAAATTTCTATGGTGGTTAATTGTATATATTAATTTGGCTAGGCTATGGTATCCAATTATTTGGTCAACAGCAGACTATTAATTTTGCTGTGAAGGCATAATTTTTTTTAAAGATTTATTTATTTGTGCATACAGAACTGGGGTACAGGCCAGAGGCTCAGGGGCGGCGAGAGGCTTCACCAGAGACAGAGTGGGGAACAGAACAGGCAGATCGACGAAGTACACTGCTGAGGGGAGCAGTGGGCGGGTCAGGAGAGGTCTGCCACGCCATGTGGTCACCTCCGGGGCAGGCGGGAATCGAACTCATGCGGAAGCGACTTTAGATTCTCAGTGCTGTGCTTTAACCCGCTGCGCCACCAGGGAGGGCCGAAGGCATAATTTTTTAGATGTCATTAATATTTCAATAAGTAGAAGTTGCATAAAGCAGATTATGCACCCTAATGTTGTTAGGCCTCATATAATTTGTTGAAGGTTTTAAGAGAAAGTGTCTGAGTTTCTTACAATGGAATGCAATTATCTGGTGTTACAAATAAATCTTAGTTGAAAACAACTAGCTGCCTCTCTGCATTCTTATACAAACCATACAATGAAAAAACAACTTGGGTACTTATGATATCCTGTATCAGTCAGTAAAGTCCAAATAAGTAAATTAATCTATTTTCATTCAAACATTTTTAAAAACACAAATGGTATAGGTAACATTAATATAACATCTTGGCATCTATCTTTATTCATAAAGGACTTTTACAATATTAATTACTGCTTGTTTAAAATTAACAATGGTTCTTTAGTTGTTGTAAAAACTATCAGGTGTCATATTTAGTTTGAATTGTTTCTACTAGAAATATCCCAAGAAAGATATTGACACTTACATGCTAAAGTGAAGGTCCCAAATCTCTATTCTGCTCTCATTGGCAGCTGCAAATATGTAGGATGATTTTGGAGACCAAGCAACATCATAAACAACATAGGTAGTTGGATAAAAAGTCAAAAATGGCTTGAGATGCTCCTGTTGCCATATAATAGCACCCCAATCTGCAGAACAGCTTAAGAATACATCATGACAAAATGGATTCCATACTATTTTATAAACTGGACCCTAAAATTAGAAAATGTATAGACAAATATGATTTATCACTTTATACTTAGAATTTGAGCAACAAATTAAAAATGCTAAGATTTCTAGAAGTTTGCATCATGCAGTATTCTGTAGATATTATTTTAACTGAGAGTAAAGTCAAAATTAAATATTTATTCCCCAAATTATGCCATATAAAAACATATGTGCTATAATAACCAGTAATATTAATACATATTATATTTAATTATTTAAAATACATGAGCACTTGGAAAAAACAGAGTTGAGAAAATGAAGACAACATAAGTGAACTAATTTTAAAAGTTTAGAAAATATGTACATACAAGAGACAATTTTACTTGTGGGCACTACATGTTATCATAAGCAAGCTAATTTTTTGTTGTTGTGCTTAGGAGCAAATAAAGATTGTGATTTCCATAATCTGCAAAAAGAAATCAAAAATATCTAGAAGCCAATTAATATGCCCCACATTACCGGTGGTTTCTATACCAAAACAACAACAATGTAATGCTATTTTTAACTCTGAACATGTAAACTTACTTTATTTGATGCCATTTTTCCCAAAATATTACAAGATAAAGCAAATTATCTATATCTGTTATAATTAAACTAACCTTATGTCCTCTGTAGGTATCTAGGTATTGTTCATTATATGAACAAGAACATTTGTGAATATGACCTTCTTCAGTGCCAGCCAAATAGATATTAGTGTCCTACAACATTAAAAAAAAAATCACAGTGCATTAGTTTGTGATAAATTAGAAAATGGCCTAAAAGAAGAGGGGCCTCCATGGTGGCATAAAGGGTAAAGTCTCAGCACTATAAGGCTATAGGCAGACACTGCAGAACAAAGTTCAATACAGGCTAGGGAACTGACCCATACCACACAGCAGAACTCTCCTGTCTTGCTCACTGCTCCCCTCAGTGTATTTCAATTTACCTATCTCTTCACTCTGTCTCTGGTAAATCCTCCCCTCCTTCTGCACCTCTGGCCTGCACTCCAGCTCTTGTATGCATAAATAAATAAAATAAATCTTTAAAAATAAATAAATAAGTAAAAGAAGACTTTTGAAATCTATTAAAATTGATTCAACAACCAAAAACAGAAATACTATCTTAAAGATAAATTTTGTTTTTTCTATCATGGTTTTACAATAATCAAACTGCCTGAAGAAATATAGTGCAAAAACAATCTAGGTTTGTTCTTTGCTAAAATAGTAAGTAGCATTTAGCATCTTATCTGAAAATTATAAGAACAAGCATTGAGTTAACTGAGAAAGAAAGAATTTAACATTTAGAGTGACAACAATGGAACTGTCAGTTCAGGTATTGAAATAGTAAGAGTTCTTTCACTCTAATTAGTAAATGAGAAGAAAGATGCCTTAACAATATTAATTGCTAAAGAAATTATTTTGGCTGGGAATGAGAGGTTAACCCAGATGGAGTCTCAGATTGAACTCTAAATGTATGCTCTAAATTGTGGGGGGAGAGGGGAGGGTTAACTGTCTAGGGAAATCATAGTCAAACATTTGAAAGTTTGGCTAAATAAGAGTTAGCATCACCTAAAGTATTTTTGAGTTGTAGAACCTCAGGCCATATGGCATATATATTGAATCAAAATTTGAATTTTAACAAGATTCCCAAGTCTATATATTAAAAGTTGAGAGACACTGATCTAGTGAAATACTCAGGGATACAACTACTAGTTACAATACAACTAGAGATATATGTAGTCTTGAATTATGTAATAAAGTATAATTTTTCCCCAAAGCAGTATCATCAATTTTCTTTCAGCACTATAAAAAGTTCCCTTAGATCCCACATTTTCTTCAATCGTTGGTTTATGAGAAACCTTAAATTTTACTATTCTGTATATCACACTTAAGTTCTATTTATGTGAATATGAATAAGATTGGTCACATTTATGTTTATTAGACACTTGCATTTCTACTTCTCCTTATATCTAGTGACCATTTTACTAATAATGTGTCTTTTTCATCTTCATTGGTGCAAATTCTTTATATATTCTATTACATATGCTTTGTTACATATGTTGCAAATATCAGATCCCAGTGTTTGACTTATATTTTTATTTTTTTTAGTATCACTTGATAAATAGAAGTTCTTATTTTAATGCAGTTTGCATTATATATTTTAATATATTTAGCCTTTTTGTTCTTTAAGAATTTTTTTTTACTTTGAGGACATATATTCTATATTTATTTTCTAAAAGATTTTTGTGTGTGTGCCTGGTAGGAATCTAATTCTATTTTTTTTTAATGGATAATGGCTATCCAGTATCACTCATAAGTAAGTTAGAGATCATTGAGGTCACTGTCTAGAGTTGGATTCCTCAGTATATTACTTATTTTTTTTAAGATTTATTTATGCATACAGAACTGGAATGAGGTGCAGGTCGGTGAGAGGATTCACCAGAGACAGAGTGGGGAACAGAACAGGCAGATTGACAAAGTACATTGCTGAGGGGAGCAGGAGCACTGGCAGGTCAGGAGAGGTCTGCCTCGCCATGTGGGTCACCTTTAGGGCTGGGGATTGAACTCAAACTGAAGTGGCTGCGGTTCACTTGCAGTGCTGCGCTATAACCCCTTGGGCCTCCAGGGAGGGTCCTCAATATATTACTTTTAAGACTGAGCTCTTTCCAGGGGTAGTTGGATAGTTGTCTCAGGAACAATCTCTGAAGGAATCAGAAAGAGAGATTTAAGTTGAAGTATGAGGCAGTTGGAACAGAGATTTCAGCTTCTAAACAACTCATTGATCAAAGAACAAATCAAAGGAAAAATGACAAAGCGTTTTAAACAAAGTGAAAATATATAACACATCCGAGTTTGACAGTTGTTGCCAAAGCACCACTTAGGGGGAATTGTTATAACACAAATGCTTCCATTAGAAAAGAAAGGTCACAAAATCAATAATCTCAGTTTTTACCTTAAGAAACTAGAAAAAGAAGAGCAGATAAAAACAAAATAGAAGAAATAAAAGAATAAAGATGAAAATAGAAACAGAAAAATGACAAAAGTCAAAGAAAAAGAGTTGGTCTTTGATATCAGTCAAATAGATACATTTCAGTCAGAATAATCAGAGAAAGATAAATTATACAAATTACTAGAATTCAGAATTAGGTGACATTACTAATTATTTTACAGCTATTAAAGATTGTTATTATGACACTGGTACAACTTAGATAGAATTCACAAATTCCTTGGAACATACAAATGACCAGAACTTAATCCAGAAGACAGCCATAATATCTTTATTTTGATTAAAAATTTGAATTTTTAGTTGAAAATTTAAAATCGTCCCAAAAGAAAATTCCAGGACCAGAATGTTAATTGCTTCCATCAGACATGTAATGAAGAAATAATAATACTCGTATGCAAATTATTTTTAAAAAGTAAAGAAAGGGGATTATTTTCATGATATGAGGCAAGGGATATTCTTATACTGAAATCAAAGACATTATAAAAATTATAAATCAATATCCCTTAGAAAGATGCAAAACTCCTATGCAATAATTTAGTTTATCAAATCCAATATTAAATTAAGTAAAATAATTATTTAAATTAATTAAGTACATTTGATAAATAAAGGGTAAATCATGATGATAACATAGATTTATCTCAGGAACAACAACAAAAAAAAATCTAACCAATGCAATTCACCATATTAACAAACTTTAGAAGAAAAACTGTATAGTCATTTTGGTAGATGCCAAAAGAGTATTTGACAAAATCCCAACATCCATTCTTAATAAAATCTCCCTACAAATAATAATGTAATGGGAACTCCTCTACCTAATTAAATGTAACTACAAAAAAAAAATCTTCAACTTACAGCATACCTAGCAGTAAAAGACTGAATGCTTTCTCCCTACGGTCAGCAACAAAACAGGGACTGAAGTCTGTTTTCAATACTTTTATTCAACATTGTACTGGAGGCTTTAGCCAGTGCAATCAAACAAGCAAAAAATATATAAAAGTTAATCAAATAAGAAAGAAAGAAGTAAAATGTCTTTATTTGTAGACTGTATGATCATTTCAAATTCCTTCTCAAATTTCATATGCCAAGGACATTTCTAGGTCACCAAATTAGAATTTCTCAATCCAGTATTATTAAAATTTTGGGCCAACTGACTTTGTTTAGGGTAGAGTGGAAAAACAAATATCTTGTGCACTGCAGGATATTTACCAGCATCCCTGGCCTACATCCACTAGACCGCAATAAAATTCCTCACCATGACACACTAACTACAACCACCAAAATTATCTTGATAGTATGAAATGTCCTCAGGGGGGGAAATATTTCTCACATACACACACCTGGTCATATTAAGAACCACTGTAAAAGCTGACTATAGGACAGAGCTATTATATGACTGGAGTGGTAAAAGTGAAATGTAATAAGAGCCTGAATTACATTAGCAGTAGCAGGCTTGGACTGAAAGTATTGGGAAATACTTACTGGGGAAATAAGGCTTAAATATCATTTTGATGACAGTGTAGAAAAAACAGCAGCTGAAGTTTTGGTTTGCTTAATTATGTGGATGATAGTGTTAATAATGAATAACCATATTACATATAAATAAAAACATATGAGATACATTTTCTTAAAAATCTGTCAAAGTGACTAAATATTCTAATTCCAATGAACTTCATAACTGTGCTCTGATTTGCTCCTGGTCTTGGTAAGCATGAACTAGTTTTCCTGATCCCCAGAATCATGAGAGTAGCCACTCACTTTGAAACATTGGACTTTAGAGTGGATTTACTTTGTATAAATAAGAATGATCAAGCAGTCGAATACCCAAGAGGGCAGGGAAATGTATTCAAGTTAAGCATGCAGTGATTAAAAAAAAAAAAAATCTTCAACTGTTTCTCAGAAATATTAATCTTTGCTCCAGAAAGCAGATAAAAGACAAATCCAGTGAATTGGAATGTGCAGGTTGGTAGCTATGTCTACATTTGTTATTTTTTATACTTACAAGGTATAAAATATATTAAACATATTCTTCTCTTCATTTCTTAATTAAATCCAACTATTCGTAGTTGTTATACAATAACAATTAATTGGTTGCAATAGTTTACCTTGGGATGAAAAGCAAAACACATTCCAGGAGCTTGGCGAGCTATCAAAGCTTCACCTTTCTTTTCCTTTTCCCCTCCTTTTTTTGTGCTTGCAACAGTCGTTCTCTTCAAACGCATCAAATCTTTAAGAAGAAAATCATGTCATGTACCACATGAAAAAATATTGCAAACATCATGTGCAATTTAGCACATAACAAGAGAATGATAATTTGATATATATACATACATATATATGCATATTTATATGTTGTGTTTATATATTTTTTAAGGTTTTCTTTCTTTTTCTTTTTTTTTTTTTTTACCATGACAGTTCAGTCCTTTCCGTATAACCCATTTGGAGATTCTTCCATCCGCTGATATAGAAACTAGTATTTCTCTTTTGTCATCACCTGTTGTGCCTCGATCTTGTTCTATCCATTGTAGTTGCCATATAGGTCCCAAATGATTTTGAGGTGACTCACTAAAATAGAGAACAGGCTAAATACACAATCAAAATAATTTTAAAAAGACTTGCTAATTAAGTAATAAAGATTTCTCCCAAGAGCACCATAATGTACTTACAGACCTATGCTTTTGTTTAAAACTGGACTTTTACACTAAATATTCTGAAAAACAGGAAAAATAGTAATGTTGCCACCTAATATTCATTGCTGTTTTTCTCATTTTCTACAAAAGGAAAACTTTACTGCTTTTAACTATACTAGCTGTTATAACAAAAATAATTATTTTTTTACAATATACTTATCTTACCATGATCCTTCATTTTTCTCAAGATGTATAATTTCAGTTTTAGATCACATTAAATGTATGTATCTTCATCTTTATAGGATTTTTTTCATAGCTTTAACCAATTACTTAAGCTATTTAAATCTTATTCAAGTAAACAGTTACCACATTCTACTAACTATATTTTGGAATAGACCAGGGACATGATTTCTCTTCTCTGAGATTTAATTTTTTTCTGAAGAATTAAAATCACTCGTCAAATTATTCATTTCCTTATCAAATTAATGGGTTGTTCTGTACCTATTACTAATTCCTTTGATTTTTTTATACAAACTCTTCAGAACAATATGCTTCATAAAGTTATAGCTGATTTTTGATTATTTTTAAAAGTTATGCACTCTCTTCCTGGAAACAAGCATAAAGCACCATGTTTACCCATCTATGCAAATAATTTCTAAGTAAAGCTTAGAGTCTCTGCTTTAGCTATTTATAATAGCCAAGTCATGCAAACAACATAAATACCCCAAAACACACCAGTGGATCAAGACAATGTGGCATTAATGCCATTTCTATTTCTTGTTAAATTTACTCAAACAATGATATAATGTTCCACTTGATTTTAGTTTCATTGGTATTTGGCCTATTATAAAACCTAACATATTCAATATCTTTCACACCTAGTTCTTTTTGTTTTTTCTTAATATGACACCTCCATCCACCCACCCATGTACACAGTACTGCTGGTACATACTCCTTATTGTATGATGTGCTGAGGATACAAAGCAAAATAAAACTTTATCCTGATCCCAAAGGACTTCACCTCAGGAAGGCATATCTATAAGCACTTCATATACAGCATGATGAGTGGTATGATGAGAGTTTATAGAGAGAAATTATAGCAGAAATGAGTGAAGTTCCCAGAAGGTGACAAAAAAAGGTAAAAGCTTTCATCTTTGTGTTTGATAGGTAAGATAACTTCTGGATAGCCAATGTACAGCTCAGTATTATTGTTAACATAATATTCTTGAAATTTGGTAAGAGTAGATTTTATATGTTCTTATTGTAAAAAAAAAAACAGTAACTGCGAGAGGTGACAGATGTGTTAATGTGACTTTAGTAAACATGTCACAAGTATATGTGTGTGTATATACACATTACATACATACACATGTATACACACATAATATCAGCACACTGTGATCACATATATAATTTAAATATATCAATTTTTGTCAATGATGCTACAATAAAGCTAAAATAAAATAAAATAAATAAACTAAACTAAATAAAATAAACTAAAATAAAAACCAGTAAGCATAAACAATAAATCAAAGGAAATTTGTTGGGGAGGTGAGTAGAGAAAATGATGCAGAAGATACTAGGATAGAGCATTTCAACTGAGGAGAAAATTTGAGGAACTAAATATTTGAAATTTAATGGTATCACCTCAATAACAAACATTCACTCAAACTCAACACTAGAGAATGCTGTAATTTCTTCCCTAAAAAGCATGTTTGTCTAATTTTTGGATTCTCACCTACTATCCAGAACAGGAATGTTACTGTTGCTTTGTACATTATAAACTGCAATACTGCCATTGTGATAACCAACTGCTAAAAGGTTAGGTGCTCCAATTGAAAAATCCACAGCAGTAACTCCATGCGGACTCTGATAAATACGTTCTGGCCACTGAATAAAGAAACAATTATATTACATCTTAAACTTGGCTTTGGGGACCACAATTAGGTAAGATCCAATGGTGGCTGACTACTGACGAGTTTGGAGGTAACAGGGTACGGGGAGATTTATTATGATAAAACCATGAATAATATAGTTCAATAACTTTAAGAATACAGCTTACAATAATTACCATATCATTTGTATGATCATCATGGCTCTACCTTCTTAAAGAAACAAATTATCTAGGATATATTGTCTTCATACTCTGTTTCAGATGGTTAGATTCTCTAGTCATTTATAAATAACAAATAGAGCAAGTGCCAGAGCTCTCTAAAGTATGTTGTTCTACAAACCTGTCAAGAGTTTCATTGTCCTATTTTAATGTCTACTTTAAATCCTTTCTTGTTTCTAACAACCTACATAGAAGACAAGACAAACTACACATGGTGATGCAAACAGATATTAATCCTTCTAGATGTTTAAAATTACTTCTTGATTTCTCTTATTCTTTATAAACCCAGATTCCTAACAGACTGGGGCTATTCATAAAATATCTAATTATTTTTATATGCTCCTCTGACCCTCCTAAGTATTATACTTCACATTTCAGTTGTAGATTAAATCTAATAGTAAAACTGTAAAGTAACTGATTAGCAAACACATGACTACAGTTCTTATTCTCTTTGAAAAATTCATGGCAGTCAGATGGTCATATTAATCTATTTTTTTAATCTATTAAAGCAACAGAAAACTCTCTTATTCACTTAATAAGAAACAACCTAGTATTAAATGTCACATGGAGTTTTCAAAAGATTCTCACTACAAATATATCCTTTGTAGTTAGCAGTGATAATCAGTAACAGTTCAGCTCTGTATCATCAGAGCTAATAGTACAGAGTAATGTTCAATAAGTATCATTAGATTAAATTGTGAGTGAATTTTTTTTACTGTGTATTGACAGGAAAAAAATTTAATCATTACATATTTAAAGCAAATAAAGTTTTGGTTAATAACTTTTTCTTGGCTTTGTTTAATTATTACATATCATTATCTATTTTATTGAAATTATGTCAACATTTAACTAAATAAAAATAGGTCTTATTCCTATTTGGGTTACCATAGGATTCTTTATTGACCAGCAGCAAGCTAATCCTCTTTTTTGCTCTTTAAATCCGAAGTGCCCATAGCCAACAGCCAAAAGATCCTAAAAACCAGAAAATACACTTAAGGACAGATTGTAGAAAATGTTAGTACATATATATATAAATGCATACTAATTAATTGCATTAAAAATAGTGGTAAGACATCTTAACAGAAAGGGGAAATGCCAGTATTTCATCTATTTTTTTCTCTATATCTCCATCTTCTTGAACAAATAATAACAATTATCTTTTCAGACTGAAGAATATCTAAAAAGAACCAAATACTAATAATTCCTTTTCCTCCTTGAGGGAATCTTCTGAAATTGAACATCACATTATAATATTTTATGGTTTTCTGAGAAGGCCCTAATCATACCTAATGTAAAACAAAATACACTATGTCTAAGACAGGTGTAATGGACTGAATTGTATCTACTTTTCATGCCTCATAAAATTCATTTGCTGAAGATTTAGCCCCAGAGTGACTAAATTTATAAATAGGGCTTGTAGGAAACAATTAAGGTTTAATGAAGTCATAAAATTAGGGTCCTAATCCAGTAGGACTGGTGATCTTGTAAGAAGAAAAATACAATGAGATTGCTTATTTCACCACAAGAGGATACAGCATGAAGGTACCTGCCTTGAAACCAGGAAGAAAAGCCCTTGCCATGAACTAAATCAGTTAGCACCTTGACCCTAAACTTCCCATTCTCCAGATTGATAAAATACATTTCTGTTATTTAAATACCCAGTCTCTAGTATTTTGTACAAGCCCAAACTGATTAATAGAGTAGGTCATTTTAAGAAATGCTTATGTAAGTACATAGAGACAAAGTTTAATGTTTAACCAAATTCTGTTAATGTATATTATATTCTCCTATATAATCAGAAAACCTTTATAAATATGCTACTGTATTTTCTTGTCACCCTATATTCAAGCTAACATCATGTCTTTACAATTTACTCTGCCTTATAACACTCTTTATCACTAACCATTTTATTTCGACATTAACAAACTCCTAATCATCTCTTCTAGTCTCAACAAGGGAAACTCTTTTACTAAGACACATTGACAAGTCTCTCTCTAGGTGCTCACAAAACATGATGAATTTCCCTTATCCAAGGACATACGTTACTATTATATGAACAGGGTCTATATATGATTTAATCATTATTGTATCAATACTTTATAGTATGTGGCACAAAGTGGATATTCAATAAATATTTGTAAAATGAACTCATAAGTAGGATAGATGCCATTGGCCTTTTTTTTTTTGCTTTACTCAAAATTATTTAACTAAATTTTCAATAGCAATATATAACCTTTTAAGTGGTAGTATACTGTTTTTAAAAAATTCATCTCTATTGTGTTTACTGATTTGTGAAATCCCACTTATCTCTAAGATATCCCCAAATATAGTCTTATAAAGACAAATATAAGCTAGAAGTATTCTATTTTATCAAAAAGTAATTTATGTAATTAATATTTAAGTTTCAGTAAAAATTATATAGACCTGCTATTTTAGTGCTGCAATTTAACCTGCTACACCACCAGGGAGGGCCCCCTTCTGCTTTCTAATAACCATGACAATAATGTCATGTTTGCACATACAATTTATGAAATTTGATAAAATAATAAAATTAATTCTTAGGCAAACATAATATAATATCATTTAAATAAATTATTTTAACCTCTTAAATATTCACTAAATATTTATTTCAAAGATACTACCATTAAACAAAAGGCTTTTGAAATCACTTGCTGAGAGCTTGCATCAGAATCAGTTAATAGAGCCAAAGAAAATCAGTCTTGTCACTCTTTAATCATCTCTTTTACAAGCAAACATACCATTCCCCAGCTTGATGACTCATCTAATTTGCCATAAGATGATTATTGGTCGTGTAGTAGTTAAGAGCAAGAACTCTGGAGCCAGATGTCTGGACTTAATTCTGTTTCACTTACTAGTTGTATAACTTGGGCAAGTTTTTTATTCTTTGTGTACTTTATTTTCCTTGTGAACATAATGGAAAAAAATAGTACCTAACTCATAGAAATGTTAACAGAAGTAAAATTTACAAAAGTCTTTGGAAATGTGTAATAGTAAGTACTACTTAGTTATTTGTTATTTTTATTAATAGTTTAAAGAATCTCAAAATTATGTGCATAGTATATAGGTCATTGGACTAAGAATATACTTCTGAATAGAAATACTTTTAAAAGAATATAAATTTGGGTATGTGAACTTGAAATATGTTGAAATAAATCATATATTATCTTTTGATATGGATTCATTGTTTAACTTTTTGCATTTCTCCCTTTGAAGCATGAATTTAGGCAGTTTCAAAGAAGAGGTTATATCTATTTTAATCCTTCACCTAATGCTTGAGGAAAAAAAATCGTCATTAGAACTTGGCAGTTGAAATTAAATGTTGAGAGATAGGACTGTTAAATGTGATAACGTACTGGATTTGTCTTATTCCAGACAAGGCTGCTCACGTTAAGGCCTTTGGTTAAGTCACAGGAAAATGACCAAAGTCGTTCCAAATTGGCTGGAATTGTTGATTGTTCTGCACTTATTTCTAGATCTTCTTCCTCCTCCTTCTTAGTCTCTTCCTCAACCTCTCCAACTTTTTCAACTCTTAAAAAGTCTTCAAGCTCTTCAGGTTCAGGTTCTAAAATTAAATCACATAAAAGTATAATTATTCTCTATAACTACAAGAATCTATAAGTAGATTTCTACCACTGACACTTTAAACACCACTAAATCTGCTCAATCATGTTACTTAAGTAACAGAGAACTTGAACCCTAATCTATAACTGCTGCAGACTTTTCTGTTATTATGGGCCCCACTCAAAACTTAGCACAGACTAGCATATCCAAATGAGGAATATGTTGCCTCCAAATGCAAAGAAGTTTACTTGGTATTGTGCCCATTTTCTTTGGTGATAAGGAAGGGCAAATGAAGCAATGTATCCTTCATCTTAGAAGATATATGACATACCTTAACCTCTGAACTCTGAAGAAATTTACTGAAGAGGGAACCCCTCAAAATGTAATCAAGTTTGGGCCCTCCCTGGTGGCACAGTGGGTTAAAAAGCAGTACTAAGAAGCTAAAGCCACTTCAGCATGAGTTCAATCCCCACCCTGAAGGTGATCCACATGGCATGGCAGACCTCTCCTGACCCACCCGCTGCTCAGCAGTGTACTTCGTCGATCTGCCTGTTTTGCTCCCCACTCTTGTCTCTGATGAATCCTTTCACCACACCTGCACCTCTGGCCTGACCCCACTTCTGTATGCATAAGTAAATAAAATATTTAAAGGTAATCAAATTTACTTTTCAACTTTTGAAAAGTATTCTCAACTTCTGAAAACATTACATGCAAATGTTTCATTAATAAGAATACTTTTTGTTCATTAGGTTCAATTAGCATAGTATCATCGATGTAATGGAACAGTGTAATGTTTTATTGAAGGAAAAGATCTCTACAGACTAAATTATACCATAAAGTTGAAGAGTAGGAAACTCCTACTCCTGCAGTAGGATATTGAAGATATATTGTAAGCCTGGTCAGCTGAAAGTAAATAAATTCTGATGTTTCTTTATCAATAAGCACTGAATTGGGGGAGGGAGGGAAAGGAAAGCATTTGTTGTACTAGTAGCTACTTATTAGATACCAAGGGATATGGTTATATGTTCAGTCAATGAACTATTAGGGGGAAAGGATATTTTGGATGAACTCTACAGATAGGGTTTTGTGGATTCCAGACAACAAAACTATGAACCCCAGCAACACCAAAGGGGGGACTGCTAGGACCCGAGGGCAGAAATAAGCAGCTATTTTGGGTTTTGTATGTAAAACCATACATGTTGGGCTAAGGGCGACACATGGAGCAAAGAGAAACATGTGAAGAAATTTCACTTGCTTCTTCTTGGTCCTGAACTGGTTGAAACAGATGTAGGTGAGGGAACCGTGGAGAGGTTGACTATGGCAGTGTTTATTTTGATTTTGCTCTGTTCCTCCCAGACTTGTCTGATCATTTCTGACCCTTCTCTCTGGGTCACCTCTAAAATGTGCTTTAGACTTGTGGTGGGCTTCCAGGCCTTGCTTTGGGCCAATCCCTTTTGGGTAAACTTTAACCCATGAGGGGGTGGGTAACTTAGAAACTATATTCTTTGTGTTTGTTGTAGGGCACACTGATTGTATTAAAGTTCCTTTCCATTAAAGGTCTTACATGTTTTGTCTTGATGGTCAGATGGCAGAACCTATTTAAGCAGACAGGTTTCGGGGTTCAGGGGTATCTCTCTCCCTGACCTGTAACAATACCTCACCTGGAATAGCAGCTGCAACTGTAGTCACCAACTGGTTAAGTTTACAAAAATTCACTATATATTATCCAAGATCCATGTGTTTTGTTCACAAGGCAAATATATGAATTGAATGGGGGACTTTTGGGGAAACAACATTTCTGCATCTTTCAAGTCCTTGATCACATTGATCACTGAATTCTTTCTAGAAATGTACTTGTTTGGCTTACTGTTTTCATAGGTAGAGGCAGTTATAGTGGTTTCCACTTAACTATTTCCTACTACATTAGCCCTCACTCCATGAGTCAAGTACTAAACATGGGGATTCTGTCAGTTTCTGGATATTTCTATTCTAAGTGTATATTCTGGAACAGGGTGGGGAGCACCACAGTATGGGCTCAGTGACTTAATGCACCCATTGTAAGATGGACTACAACAAAAACTCCATTGGTCAATCATCTTATCTCTGATTAGTGGACCATAGTAATGGTTTGGGTTCTCCTACTACTAGTGTCACTTCAGGACAGTATGAGGCAATCCCTGAAAAGCTCTATATTCCTTTTTTGCAGTGTACATTCACCAGAATAAAAGGTTATAGGTCCCTTTTGAGAAGGCTGGTAGAAATATTAACAGCAAACATTTAGGGCAGTGTAGTGAAACAACTTTTCAAAAGGACCCAACTTCCCCTTCATCCAAGGAACTCTGAGTCTATAAGCTACCCAAGTTTAGGAATTGGTTGGGAGGCTCTTACTTTGTTTTGGTGATTCAATTTAGAGTTCTGTTCACTTGACCTAGTTCTCAGTGCCTCAATATGTAATGATATTTGGAGACAAGGATTTTAAAGAGGTGATTAAGTGAAAATAAAACCATTAGTGTGAGTAATAATCCAATATAACTGGCATCTTTATAGGAAGAGGATATTTAAACTCTCTAAGAGATAGAGATTCACATGCACAGAGAAGATTGTGTAAGAAGGCAGACCAAGGAGAGAGGCTTTAGAGGAAACCAAGCTGCTGGCACCTTGATCTTGGACTTCCTGCCTCTGGAATTATAAGAAAGTAAATTTCTGTTGCTTAAGCCATCCAGTGTGTGGTTGATTATTAAGGCAGCCCTTGAAAGCGAGTGTACCACCTATTTTTTTCTCTTCCAAGGACAACATGATCAACTAGCCGATGCTGTGGGTTTCTGTGAGTCAGGTCATTGTAATTACTTCTTTATCAATTACGGTAACCATCCCAATTTTTTTGTGGATGATTAAGACCTGCCACCTAGCCTCTACTATCTCAGATCCTACTTTTCTTCTTCTACTTGAGAGTCTCTGTATAATGATAGGGGTTCCCACTTCAGTTTCTGACACTGAGAGAATCATCACAGAGTTCTTCAAGGATATCAGACAACCTTCCTGATTTATTTCTCACAGTTATGTGAGAAATTGATTTCTTACAGTCATGAAGGGCATGCTATCTAGAACCTCTGGAGTGGGAAAGTAGATCATCATGATAAATCCATTCTAACATTCCAGTGTTTCCAAATCTTTGAATACCTTTCTCAATGTGTATCAAAGAACTTCTAGATTTATTTAATAAATGTCACATTTTGGTCCATTATCAGCTAGCCAAAAACAAAAACCTATTAGAGCCATTTTAATCCCTTGAATTACATCACTGAATCCAGAATCTCTATGTAGTAGATCCACATCAATAAATTTGACCCGATCCGACTACTCTTTCCACTATTACCCTACACTCTTAATATCTTTCCCCACATGTATTTTCCAGATATCTGTCTGTATAAATTGGAAAAATCAGCAGCCAATTCTTCATGGAGTCATAACAACCCAAACTGCACATGTATGTAACAACTTCAAAATACATGGAACAAAAAACAAATCTAAAAAAAGTAAACAACTCAGAGATTTTGATACTACTCTCTCAACTGATAGGATAAGCAGAAAAACAGTAAAGACACAAATGACCTGAATAACATTATAGACCAACTTGATTTAATTAACATTTATAGAGCAATTCACCAAAAAAAAAGAAAAAGAAAAATGCATAATCATAGTACATTCTTAAAATAGACCACATTATGGACCATCAAACAACCTTAACAAATATGAAATAATGTAAATCATACAAAGTGTATTTTTAGACCACAATGGGATTAAATTAGAAATCAATAATAGGAATATAGTTACAAAATCCTAAAATATTTTAACCCAACAATATAGTTATAACTATCACATGGGTCAATGAAGAAGTTTCAAAAGAAATTTAAGTTTTCACTTTAAAATTATTGCACATTTTAAAAAATTGACTTTTTGGGTCCTCCCTGGTGGCGTAGTGGGTTAAAGCACAGCACTGAGAAGCTAAAAGCGTGAGTTGGATCCCTAACCCCCGAGGTGACCCACATGGAGCGGCAGACCTCTCCTGACCTGCCTGCTGCTCCCCTCAGCAGTGTACTTCATCAGTCAGCCTGTTCTGCTCCCCACTCTGTGTCTGGGCAATCCTCTCACTGCCCCTGCACCTCTGGCTTGTACCCCAGTTCTGTGTGCCTAAAGTAAATAAATAAATCTTTTAATTTTTTTTATTTTTAATAAAATAAAATTATAACATTAAATTACTTTTTAGAAGACAATTTATTAGTAAGTCAGAGTGTTGAATATATATAGCTGACCATATTATCCACCTATTTCACTGCTGAGAAATGAAAGCAAAGGCCTGTACAAAGACTTGTGCACAAATGTTCATACCAACTTTAATGTAATGGCCCTAAACTGGAAAATATCAACCAACTACTGAAAGGAAAAATACAGTTCAGAATAGTCAGCCAATGTATTATTCATCAGTTAAAACATAACAAAAACTGCCTTTTGGCTCTCTGAGCGGCACCATGGCGGTGGGCAAAAACAAGCGCCTTACGAAAGGTGGCAAAAAGGGAGCCAAGAAGAAAGTGGCTGACCCATTTTCTAAGAAAGACTGGTACGATGTGAAAGCGCCAGCAATGTTCAATATAAGAAATATTGGGAAAACATTAGTCACGAGAACTCAAGGAACCAAAATCGCGTCAGATGGCCTCAAAGGGCGTGTTTTTGAAGTGAGCCTTGCTGACCTGCAGAATGATGAAGTTGCATTTAGAAAATTCAAGCTAATTACTGAGGATGTTCAGGGCAAAAACTGCCTGACTAACTTCCATGGCATGGATCTTACCCGAGATAAAATGTGCTCCATGGTCAAAAAATGGCAGACCATGATTGAAGCTCATGTTGATGTCAAGACAACAGATGGTTATTTGCTTTGTCTCTTCTGTGTTGGTTTTACTAAAAAACGCAACAATCAGATCCGGAAGACCTCTTATGCACAGC